CCCTAAATGTCTCCAGTAGTCTCTGCAAAACACAGGATACTGGGCTAAGTAGGTATTTGCTTTTTGACTAGTTGAGGAGTTCTGAAGAAAGGCAGTAAAACATAAAATAAAGAAATTTATCTCCTTATCTGCACAGATCTCAAAAACACTTTTCAAGTTTAAAGTACTGAGGCACTCAAGAGCCACAATTTTAGTTTGCATAAAAATCTTCATGAACTCCTAGAAGCAAAGGAAATAAATGTTCATTTTTGTAAGGAATAATAGCTCATTAACAGCAGACCTAAGAGGTGGTTCTTCCCCCTTTCAAGTCCCTTTCCTCTTATGTGTCTGTTGCTGACCTTGTGCTGACCTGATCATAAGTTGATTAAATTCTCTCTATCTAGATAGCTCTTTCCTTCGATAATTGAGTAAATTAAAGTCATGAGAGAGTCCACGGCATGCACCGATTGAGAAGGGACCATGCAGCTGTGAGCAGGACCCATTTTGGTGTCAATTTTATTTGGTCAGTTCTGCTGCTGGAGGTGCAGCCTCATAGCCCATAGTGTCCTCTCTCATGGAAAACCCCCTTCATTACTCCCTGCCATGTAGAAAACTCACTATAACTGTAGTTTCATGCCTGTTCCCAGAAAACCCTCACTTTTCTAAGAAGTTTCAAGAAAATACTCATAAAATCACATCTTCAGTGTGAACTAGCTTTTACTTTTACTCCACATCCAGTTACAATTCACTATGCAACAGCACACTCTAAACCTCTGATTTCAAAGAAAATATAATCAAAACTGTGACCATATCTCACAAACCTGGCCCATCCATGGAAAATGCCACAGAAAAAGAGATAATGAAAAACATCAATTGATGTTTCATAGAATCACAGAATCATAGAATCAGCTGGGCTGGAAGAGACCTCAAAGATCACAGAGTCCAACCCTACTGTGGTTACTAGACCATGGCACTCTAATTTTCTTCCTACATGACCTGACTATATTCCTATATTCAAATATAACAAAGCTGGAGAGGGACTTTTTACAACTGCATGAACAAACGGGATAATGGCTTCAAATTGAGAGAGGGCAGGTTTCAATTAGATATTCGGAAGGAATTCTCCACTATGATGGTGGTGTGGCACTGGTGCAGCTTGCCCAGAGAAGTTGTGGATACCCTGGAAATCTTCAAGGACAGGTTGGATGGGGCTTTGAGCATCCTGGTCTAACAGAGGGTATCCCTGCCTATGGCAGGGGGACTAGAACTTCCAACCTAAACCATTCTGTGATTCCATCAAATATTTTTAAACCTAGTAAAACTGATATGACAAGTCTTCACCCTCATGTTTACTCACTGTCAAAAATAACCAAATAAGTGCTTCATCTGCCCTCGCAGCAAACATTGCAGGAGGAAGGTGTAAAAAGAAAAAGAAAGTACTACGGGGACTGGTCAGCATTTCACAGATTGTCAGGTAGACCATAATTTACATCCATGTAAACTAGAAACCACACAGTTTAAAACTACTGGAACTTTAACACTAATAAAACCAGCAGAAGTCATTGAAACCTTCCTACTCCCTTGCAACTGCAACTACTGAATATCAAGTTGACTTTGTAGAAACTGTTGAGCTACCAATGATTAGTGAAGGGTAATACGAGAAGTAAAAATAGACTAGAAAACTCTTTCAGAAAGCAAAGTAAAACTAAAATTACATCAGGAGAAAAACTATTGTCAAATATTTCTACATTACTATTTATAACATACCTGTTACCTGTTTCTTCAACTTTTCAATTTCTTCTTTCAAACTCTTAATTTCTAAATCTTTGGTTGCTGTTATCGGGCCATCCACTGTTGAATACTGCAGAGCCTGGACTGTCTGGGTGGACTCTAGAAAAAGATGGAAGAGAGGGACAAATTACATGTCTGACATCTGAAGAGGTCTAAGAAATATTTATGATAAATTAAGACATGCCAAAAGACCCTCCACTGAGGACTCCACAATTTTTAATTTTCAACTATTAAGTGCCAGTCTTTCAGCAATTGTCAGCTGGACAAACTAAGTTCTTAGAAAGTTTTAAGAATGAAATCTTTATGCCATAGTAACCAAGGCACAGTGAGAACAAAGTTAGCATGTTATAAGAAGTTGCATAAATGACATATTTCAGGCATAAAGAGTAACAAAAGTTTAATTTGTCAACAAAAATAATTAAGACAATTCTTTTCTGCTAGTAAGCATTCTAGGAGGTATATTTATTTTCTTTCACCGTAGAAACAGTGCTTTACTAATCTAAAAGCTAATCAAAGTCAAAAGAGTGACTGAATTATTTCTTTTAATGACTATACCTTGCAGTTTTCTACTAAGTTCAAGCTTTTCCTGTTCTAGACGTCTTATCCTCCTCTCATAAGCTTCTGTTGCTAAACTGTCCTCCAAAGTTCTTTGAATGCTGGCATCAAGATCCATGGAGGGTGGTCCAGCTGTCAGTCTTAGACAGCTGCGGTCTGAAAGCACACTGGGGGGAAAAAAATTAACAGGATTGGATTTTACAACAGGCTGTGTCTAAAATAATGCTAAAAAAAATATCAACCAATAAACAGTTGTTTAAATTGTTAATTACTATGCCATTTATTATACCATCAAAGAAGAACTTGTTAGGATGTGCTCATTAAAAACTGAACTAATTTTTACCTAGCGTGTCTGAATGTCCTCTATGAATTTTTTTGTTACATAAAAGGGAATGAACTTCTGATTAAAAATTATCATTATGGACAGTCTACATTAGCCAATTAACAAAAAACAACAACATAGATAGTAAGATTACAATAATAGTTCATTTCAAAATAATTTATCAAGTATCCTAAATACTTTAAATGCAACAACCACAACAAATGGTGTGAAACTATCCCGTGACAACTAGGGTATGGACATATTGGAAATGCTGTGGCTATTCATGTAATCATGCTACTACTTATGCAAATAATCCTTCTGAACTCTAAGACACTCTAGGATGCAATCACATTCCCAGCCGAACCGTAGGCATGTTTTTTTAATGGTTGAAAACATTATTTATTTATTTCCATAAAAGAACAAGGAGCATACATGGACTTCCTTGTTACTCTTTAATCCAGCAATAGCAATGGACATAATAAATACCACATTAATACCAAACATCAATTAAAACAATTTCAAAAAACTTCCAGACTTAAAAAAGTGTGAAAAGACAAGAAATAAAATAGTTTTTAATGTCTAAAAAACTAAGCTCTCTCTGGGTCCACACATCTAGCCCTAACTTTGCCATAAGCTGTTAACTTCATACATCGCCTGAGAACTACCTTTCTCAACAAAACTCCCTGGAACACAGGTGCTGCCCATTATATTCATGTAAATTTTAGCTGCAGAGAGCTCATCCTTTTGGACAGACAGTATCTTAGATTATAGCCTAGTAATTTCCTCAATAAACCACATTCTTTGGTGTCTGTTTGCAGCTGGTTTCACAGACAAAAACATGAGATATTGTGTAACAAACCTGCAGACCATTTTGGAACTCTTAACTTACCAGCTACTTGTATATGTGAAACCCACAAATGGTAAATGATGGCCAGAAAATGCAGTGTGCGATGGTGGAGGCATTGTCTCCTAGAAAAATAATAGGACAGCTGAGTATGTAGTTTAAGCTTATTTGGCTTAAAAGAAAGAGATTTGCAAGTTTAACCATATGTGAAGTGTTAGTGATAATACCATACTAACTATTATTCACAGTCAGCCTTATCTACAGCCCAAATATACAGCAGTGTCACCCGAATCTATTTATAATAGCATTTAATATATAAAATAGAGCACATTGGCAAGAAAATGCTTTTCTAATTAAATAGGCTATTGTTGGAGGAAAGCAGAGTATTACATACATTAAATGCCAATTTATTTCTTGTTTTTTCCAAGAAGCTCTTAGTACAAGGAGTAATACCTTTTATTCCCTCCTCTCCTTCTCTCTGCTATTCAGTCAACAGGGCTTCCTGCCTATGGAATTACCAACCCCACTTCTGAGTGAGCTATCTCTATTTGGAGAGGACAATAGTCAGGCATTTACTAGAAAGTAGTAATACAACAGGATGTTCTAATCCCATTAGTGCTTTGACCATTTCTTCCTTCATTTTGCCTCTTTCTTGACAAAGAACTAGAAAACCCAAGACAAATCTTTGACTTTTCCTCAGGCTAAAACTACCCTGTTGCTACTTTACTTGATTATTATAATACATATAATAAATTCTAATATTCCTAAATATCCTGTTAACTTTCCTGTTTAAACCCAAGATGCAAGTTTTATGTTGCTATACTAGAGATGGCCTTAATGGTCATCAAAAGAAACTCCTTAAGACAATTATCACACTGATAGAGATAAAAGGTTCTAAATTGTCAGAAAAGGTACATAATTCTTTTCTAAACCCAAGCAAAAAATTAGAAAGGAACCAGTTGTATGTTTTTTCATGTAAAACCGAGCAGGAAAACACAAGGAATAAGAATGTATTCAAAAGAAATCCAAAGTAACCTTTTCAGTGGTGGCATCAGCAACATTACACCACAATCTTATCCTTTAAGCAGTCAAAAGTCTTCACATCTTAAAAGAGTTCTCAGAATAAAAAACCAACACTAATGACATGGCTAGATTGTTTAAGTACATTAAATCTACATTGCTGGGCATTTTGGAAACTAGGGACAAGATCAAATTACAAAGCTTTAGCTTTCCACTAATTCATACTAAAACTATCAATTATTACAGATTATGGTTAGAAAATGTAAAATTTTACTTATCTTTTATATTTTTGTTTTCACCTTTCATCAATTTGAGTTTCAAAACGGTCTTTACAGATAATTTTTAAAATACCAAATGCATAGTTGTGTGATTTTAACAGCCTACATGACAATTTTCAGTTACCACACAAGTAACTCTTATAAAATATTGTATCTACTGAAAAACAATGTAAGATTCTGTGAAAGAATTTGTTCCTTTGGCAGAAAGTAAGATACGTATTTCCCGCTACTTGTGTGAATTTAACTCTCTAACAAGGACAAAATTGTAACTGAATCTATCATGTCTCTCAGTAAGGCTACTAAGCTAACTAACAGTTAAAAGCTAAATCCCAGCACGCTTAGGCTGCCTGAACAACACAGTTTTTTCCCTTTGTGTTTATATATACTTTGAACATACTTTTCAAATTTCTTTATTATGTATACAATTTTTCCATGGGACCACAGACTCATTGTAAATTCAAGAAGAACAATAATAATCATGGCTTTTCAACACCTTTATCTTCAGCATTAAGCATTCCTCATTTGCTCTGTGAAATTCAAATCTTGCCAAGAATTGTTTTTAAAAAAGAAAAAATTCTCATAGATTTATGTATGGTGCTGACTTCTATAATAGTAATGGAAGTATGTGAAACCTCCTCAAAAATTCATAAAAAGGTGACCTTGACACTCCTGAGAGGTGGGGCTGATGGCAACCTCATGAAGTCCAACAAAACATCTAGGCCGTGGCAATCCCAGGCACACCTACAGCTGGGTGGGGAACTAACTGAGAGCAGCACTAAGGAGAAAGACTTGGGTGTGATGGTGGATGAGAAACTGAACATGAGTCAGCAGTGTGCACTAGCAGCCCAGAAAGCCAATCAAATTCTGGGCTGCAACAAAAGGAGTGTGGCCAGCAGGTCAAAAGAGGTGATTCTTCCCCTCTGCTCTTATGAGACCCTGCCTGGAATACTGTGTGCAGTTCAGAAGGACACAGAACTGTTGGAGCAAGCCCAGAGGAAGGTCATGAAGTTGACAAGAGGAAGGGAGCACCTCCCCTATGAAGACAGGCTGAGGAAGTTGGGGCTGTTCAGCCTGGAGAAGAGAAGGTTGCATGGATACTTCACAGCAGCCTTTCAGTATCTGAAGGGGCTACAGGGGAGCCAGAAAGGAGCTCTTTGTTAGGAACTGCAGTGATAGGACAAGGAGTAATGGGTTAAAACTGAAGGAGGGGCAATTTAAATTAGATACCAGAGAAAGCTTTTTTACAGTGTGGGTGGTGAGACACTGGCACAGGTTGCCCAGGGAGGTTGTGGATGTCCCAGCCCTAGCAGTGTTCAAAGCCAGGCTGGATAAAGCCTTGAGCAATCTGGTCTAGCAGGAGGTGTCCCTGCCCATGGCAGAGGGGGTTGTTACTAGATGATCTTCGAGGTCCATTCCAACCCCACAACATTCTATATGAAACACGGAGGAGAAAATACCTCCAAGTTATTTACACAGAATTTGAGACAAAGCAATATTAAACACAATGTCCACCAGTTGAAGCAAAAAATGTAAAATATTTTCAGTTACTCAATGCCTTAGGCTAGGTTTTTTCAGCAGTTCTGAGATACTAGGTTTGAAAAGAAATGGTAAGAACCTAATATTCTTATATTAAAACAGCACAAACCCCAACATTCAGATGTTTAAAATTAGGAAACTGAAAAAGAAGCTCCAAAACCTGGAATTCATCTCTAACAGTTCTGTGGCATTGCTTTTCATCCCCAAAATGTCTAAAGCAAATTAAGAATTAACTCAGTTATTTCAGCTGAGAGTCTAGTAACTCATCAGAGAAACATTCTGCAGCATACTTACCATTCACAATGGTAAAGCATTCATACTGCACAGGCACATTTTGAGTGCCTCAGTTAGGAGATTAGGCTCTAAAACGAAAGGTTGTGGACTGGACAACATTAGACTGTGTGAACAACCCCAAAAAGGTATTTCAGCTTCACCAAGAAAGACTTGCTGTAATATAGCATCCACTCCAGCCACTTAATCCTCATAGCTGTTCCTGGACAAAATAATAGCTAACAGATATCGGAAGACTGTATAAAAATGTTTTAAGATAAAAATACTTCAGTTGTGAAGGGAAATGAGCAATATCAGATGCAAGTGAGGGAAAAAAATGCAAGTCATCCTATGCAGCTTAATTTGCCTATAGGAAAGGGCTCTGAGATTTAATCATAGATCACAGAATCCCTTAGGTTGGAAAGACCTTCAAAATCATTGAATCCAACCATTAACCCAGCACTGAGAGGTCCATCACTAAACCATTTTCCCAAGCACCACATCTACATGTCTTTCAAGTAACTCCAGGAATATTTGACCCCACCACTTCCCTGGGTAATCCTTTCAACAAAGAAATTTTTCCCAGTATCCAATCTTAACTTCCCCTGGCACAACCTGAGGCCATTTACTCTTGTCCCGTGTCTTGTTACTCGGGAGAAGAGACCAACACTCACGAAGTGTTTTAGTCAGTGTTTTCCATGTTTTAATGTGCAGCTGGAGAAAAGGGAATGTAAATAATGATCATCTTGCCTATCTCTTACCTGCAGGTCCAGAAAACTCAGTGAGACTGAGGTGCACACACAGTTCAGGAAACCAAAGGAAAAACAGTGAAAATGCTTCACCTCACAAGTAAACAGCAGTTTTCTGCACCTTTCAACAAACGCACACACACACAAGGTATTTCCAAGGAGAGAACACAAGGCATTCCTCTGATGCTAAGACCTCTATCATCTGTCAAAGTTCCTTTTCAAAAGCATAGAAACAGTAAAACTGTTAAAAATCAACAGCTGCAAAGCTTTTTAAGGAAAGGTAAAAATAATTTCTTTCTTGCTCCTGAAGAAATGGCTTTAACATTTATCCTAAATTTCCTAAAAAAGCAAATCAAATTAGCAATAAAAGCTTGAAAAATTTTAGTGGAAATGAACTGAATGGAATCTGACAGCAATATGAGCAATTAGAATAGAGCACTACAATAAAATGCATTATGCAAACTCAGTATTAAGTCTCAACAATGCTCTGCTAGAAATACTGTTTCTTGCAGCCTATCTACGTGTGGTCTTCATAAGACGCGGACACTAAGAATGTGCTGCTGCAAATAACAGATGTGTATCTTAGGCAAAAACACGTGAAGTTACAATGAATTTACAAAACTGAAGTTACCCTTACACAAATACATATGTTTGGAGGACTGGCCTTCGAACTATCTAAGTATTCCTCCCAGAGTTCTCCAACACAGCAAGTTATTTACACAGAACACAATGAACACACTGAAATATTTTGTTACAAAGTATACTACAAAAGCTGATTTGTCAAAATGTTAGTTCTATACTTACAGAGCTTTTTAAGCAATCATCATCCACATCAAAGTTTGATGTATCAGTGGGGCTGCTGACTTCTGGGATGTAAGGTGCCTCACAATTTCTAATGTTGTCCCAATCAATCCCAGCAAAAAATGGATGGTTCTTAAAGTCTTCTATCCCATTTTGTCCAAGTCGATGCTCTCTGCTACAAATGAGCCTTCGGATGAGGTCCTTTGCACTTTCAGAGACATCTGTCACTTGAGCAGGAAACTGAAACCTCTCCTTAAATATTAAAATAAGAGAAAATAGTTTATTACCAAGAAAAATTTGGAAAAATTACCCTTCTTAGTGAAAATCATTATGTGGAAAAATCAATGTGCAAATACTCTAGTTCTGAAATATATGCAGCAAGGTTTCATGGAAAAAGACTTCTGTTAAGGATAGAAACTATTAATTTTGGGTTTTGCCTCTTAGTTTTTCTTATTTACTTAATTTCTCTTACACTACTAATTCTACAGCTACCTCCATGTGAAAGAAAGTTTAAGAATCTTCTGCAAGAAGAAAGTACCACAAAAGGAGTAATACAGTGTAGCCAAGATTTACTCCACAGAGTGAAGTAACAGCCATGTTTCCAACCCCAAACTTTTAGTTTTGAAATGCTTTATCCCAAAGCAAAGCCATCTGCAATCCATAACCATAAACTTACAACATGGAAACATATTTTTTGTTCTACATTTATGAACATTAAGATAATTAGTACATAAAACCTTCTTTTTAAATAAGTCTTCGAGTTACCCCATTACTTTTTAAAAATTAGCTTAGAGACAGACAGAAAGTGCACTAACTTTGTGGTTCATTATTTTCCCATAGGTCTCCACCAAGGACTCAGCATAAAAGGGCGTTTCTCCATAAAGCATTTCATACATGCAAACGCCTAGGGACCACCAGTCACACTCGGGCCCATACTTCCCTTTTCCATCTTCCATAGCTTGCAAGATTTCTGGAGAGATGTAGTCTGGTGTTCCAACTGCCACTGAAGATTGGACCTGCAGGAGTTACATTTTCAGGACTGAAATCAACTTCCATTGTTACAGACACTGTTGGTCGTGGCACTGTGCCTGTTATATATAAATTTAGCCTGGCATTCTGGTTATAACAAAAACAACTAAACACAAACAAAGGTTTCTAAATTCATAAAGAAATACTTAAGCATCCAAGGCACTACATTAATAGGCACCTCAATAATATACTTTTGCTAAACTATTACAAATATTTAAAACCAGAGGAAGAACAAAACTGTCAATTTTTAGGCTTACAGCCATTAAGCAATTATAGATTAAGTGACAACTTACATTAACTCAAATACTTTGATGATTAACATACTGGAATTCCATTCCAGTTACACCTACTACATACTGTGCAAATTTAAACGCACTAGTAGAACATCATTCAGTATCTCATCCTGCTTGTACTAAAGCTTGCATTTTCGATAAACATTAGAGCTCAGAGCTCAAAACTGAGAGACTCACAGTTCATAAACACATACCTACTCAGTATTGACAGCACAGCAGCTCTTTATTTATTTGTGAGTTGACTATATGTATCTAAAAAGCTTTTAATATACTGCAAATCCAAGCAGTATGCAGTCATATTTTGAACCAAGGTTAGTTACGCATCAATACCATTTACAATTCCATTTCATTTGACAAGGCTCCTTTTCCCTTTATTACCACGTGTTTTAGCAGCTAGCAAAGGACTGAAGAAAAGGTATTTAGGAATATATTATTCTTTCTAATTTACCGTTCCATCTTCCATCAGTTTCAGACAAGAACCAAAATCTGCTAATCGAATATGTCCATTCATATCCATCAAGATGTTGTCTGGTTTAATATCCCTGCAATTAAAGCAAATTTCAGAATTAGTACAAAAATTTATTGCATAACACATAGTCCAAGCATTGACTCCACAATACTCATCATTCAAAACCAGCAATAAGTCAGTGGTCAGAACACAGTCACTCATGTGGTGAAATTTGCACAAGGGCCATTTCATGATAGGGGCTGTAGAACAATCGAACCATATAATGCCTGTTAATTTTAGTAAGAATTGTGTAGTTCAATTCCTTTCATCTCTCACAGATAGACAGGAGAATCTTACTTGTTCTGAACTTTTGTACATAAAACTTTTAAATCATCTGAATAATTTTAGTGAAGTATTCTCAACTAGAAGATGAACCCTTATACTGGAGCTGGAAAACAACCTTTACGATAGAACACAGGCCAGTGAAAACCTGAAATAGTTAAAACATTTTTAAATTTAGTGTCTTCCATCAATATTCTTCTCTCAAGTACATCTCAGCTCACTATGTGCATCTGTCATGCTTCTGCTGAGATGACCAACAAAGCCATTGTACACACTACTGCAGCTCTGCTTGGCCAGACTCTGTAGCTGTCTCTTCCAGATCATAATGCACATGGAAATATCCTTCTAAGCAGGCAATATAATAAATACTCTTTATATATATACACTTTTTTATCTAACTATACCGAAATACAGGTAAAGTGTATGCCTCCAGTATGCAGATGGCTAGGACAAAAGCCTCTATGCTCTCATAAATACCAGAGGGACATTTACCATTCAACTTACAAACTAAGTTCAGATGTTGAAATTTCTTCTCACTGAAGTACAGTTACCAGAAATACCCATTAAGCTACATTTAAAAAATATATGACATTGTTGATTCTTACTCTACCCTTATTTATTGTATTCAAAAGATGTTACAACTGTATGAATAAAGTACCAATGTTCACTTCTCAGTGAGCATTTCTAGGATAGAAGAACAAATCCCCTAAAATAGACAAAAAACAAGTGAAGCCCTGACTTTGCTTCATTCCCCTAACAACTTACAAATGAATGTCACCAATTGCTTTGCAGGCAAATCTCAAACTATTTGCAAGCTAAGATGTTGACATTGTACATGAGAGCAAGCTTTTTTTGTTTGGGTTTCGTTGGTTTGGTTTTGTTTGGTTTTTCAATTCCAAATAAAAACTAAGTAACAAACAATGTTTACTGATAATTTATAATGGCAAAAAAGTTAGAACTACATCTTGAACAACATTATAGAAGCAATGGCATACAAATGTTGCCCCATTACACACACAGTGACAATTAATATGGTAAGAGTATGTTGTTTGAAAGAAAATTACTTTCTGAATTTGTGTTACCCAAAGACAAGCAGGCAGTGGCCCATGCTGAAAACAAATTTTAGGCACCTTTCAAATGTGCAGAAACATTTACAAAGTAGAAAGAAAACACTACTTAAGAAATCATACTTTCACATCTCACAGCTGAGCATAAAGACAATTATTTACAAAGTAAACCATAAAAATTAAGAGAGTCTATTCTCTTAAGACCATTCTGCCACTTGATTTTTGCTGACACTGAATATGCCAAAGAATTGCAACCTCCATATTGAGATAGTTTTGTTTATTTTGCATTCACCCACCAAAAACATTCTTTAAACATGTTTCTAAACAAAAACAAACACATGCTATTGAGAGCTGGAATCATAACTTCAGTTTAAAACACTTTGCAAAAACATGCACCTAAACCAAGTTCCTCTTAGAAGCTGGACCTAGTTCAAGCTAAACAAAAACATGAGTCACCCTTGAGGCTCCATTTATCCATACTCTTATCTTTTAATATATTCCCAAGAGAAATAATAATAACACTAATCATCATCATCATCCCAACCTCTCCCATTCAATCTCACAAAACAGCAGAAAACATGAAAAAAATCTCACTGTGCTGTCAACACTGCAAAATCAAACCTGCAAACAACATCGAATACACTTGGAGGAACAAAGATGCCTTGCAAAGCGATGTTTGAAAGGCTCAGTAATAACTTCATAAGAACAATTTTTACAGTTAGGGAAAAAAAAGAAAAAGAGACCAACTTATTGCATACAAATTCTTTTTGGCTCTTGTAACAGAAGGTATGGGTTATGAACAACTGTTTTGAATCCAACTGAACTAAGCTAATATAAGTTTGAAAGACAAGAATTGCTGGCACCTGCAGAGTAGAGTAGGCTATAAGCAAAGGGAAAGAAAATTATGAGTCCCAGAGGGGAACAAGGAAAGGGAATAACTACTGCCAGTGTAACTGAAGAGTTTGAAGGTGGTAGTTATGAGAAAAAAGATCTCTTAAACCTTGCATATCTAATGAGTTTTGTTCCAAGTTTTTGTTTTGAAAGACATTTGGTGACTCTTGTTTAGAGATCAGAATTGATCTGTCTCCTGTTCTAAGCAGAGCATGGTCTTCCCTCTTCACACCCAATCCACCTTTCCCAGCCTATCCCAGTTTCTGCACTGTATGGATTGGTTCCATCTTCCCACGCTTCCACCTCAGCTGCAGTTTTATTTCTATCATCCCCTAGTCTAGCCTCCTAGACTCACTTCAAAAACTGAAATGTGCAGTCCTCCATAGCCTACCAAACAAATCTCCTTCCCTTTTATTTTCTTTCACTTTCAGCTTCTTCACTCCCAGGTTCTAGTCTCCCTGTCTGTACACATTTAACTGATCCTCTTTTTCCTTCCATCTCACTTCCAGCAGTTATCTTTTACCCATAGTCACATCCCAGATTCCCTTCCCATTCCCACCAGCTTCCTATTCCTGTAATCCTAACTACCTTATTTCCTCATGTTCAATTTTTTTTCCCATTTGCAGAGCAATCTTCTTTGGCACCAAAAGGAAGAGAACTATCAGCAAAAAAAGAGTCTCCACATTGTCTCTAGTGTCTATTTACCAGTATCTCCCCAAACTGCATCATCCTTACAGCTCTGAAACAGTGCCAACCTACAGCAGAAGAAAACTAAAAAGCATTTAGGGACCATACTCTGAAAATGGTTGTTTGAAACTCATACCAACTGGCATACTGAGGGGAAAATTATAACCTGAAAATATCTAGGTGGCGTGTGGAGGAATGAAAATACATATATGACTCAAGGAGAATTCTCTCCTGAATTTCAAGTGTCTCCACGTCCCAGAGCAGAAGACATTCTCGCTGGGTTTGTAAGAATTATTTTATTAATTCAAAACCTATAGGAAAAGCAATGTGTGATTCTTGATATTGGTCCTGGAAAGAGATAACACTGGCTTCTTCAAGCAAATACTAAGGAAGGAAAATTCCAGACCAAGTAGCTAAAATGTGGCAAAAGTAATGACTAAATAATCAAAAGTTACATGACTTACTGAATAGACTACTGGGCTGAATCTCTGTAGATGATAGTTACTAGGTGACTGTGGGCAAACCACTTAAACATCACTGAATGAGAACTCTGGTCCTCAGTCAAGCAACTAACATCATCTGGTTGGAAGACTATGGAGCCCAAATAGTCTAATAATCCTCTCATTACTTCACTGTAGTAAAAGAAAATGGCCTGCTCACTTGAGTTATGAAATAATAATTTGCTTTCAAGAAGTGTAAGGATTTCAAAGGTATTTTATGAACCAGATTTATAGCGGGAATGAGTATTGAATTGGGGAATTGCTCTGACACTACTGTCCCCTCTGAGGACCCTGAGTTCTACCAAGTCCCAGACAGTTCAGCCCTACTCTGAGAGCAGCTTCTGTGGGAAGCCCAATGTGAAAGGGGTGCAGGTTGCCACAGCTGGACCTGGCACAAATCAAGCTAGTATAAATTCTCCAAATTCTTCGAATGTGCTCCACAGTGAATTAAGGGAACACAGATACCCAAAAAAAATTCAAATCCTCCTTATTTGAATTTTTTTTTTAGCATTGTCACCTGCGGGTGTGAACTGAGCCAAGACTGATGTTTTGCTTTCTTTTCTTTTTGTGAATGAGTGATTTCCCAGTGCCAAAGGAGCTAGAAGTCTGGACCAAATAAACTTCTTTAAAAAGATGACTGTCCATTTAAACTGTGACTCCAACACAGCATACAGGAGCGACTTCTGCTCTTCTGAGCTTTGTTGGCCTTAACTGTACAATAAAATCAGCACTGTACAGCAGCTTTGTTGCTGCCCTTTTGGAGAATGCAATAGGAATAAACAGTGTGTAATACTGAAGACTTCACTTGCACAGCAAGTGAGTGTGGAGGCTTATGAAAAGAAGACTGAAAAAATCTTTAATGAATCCTTTTTCATAATGCTTCTTGATTTAATTTGGGGAGCTGATCTTCAGATTGGCATGTTTACCCGGATGACTTCACTCACCTCTCTTTAAAACTATTTACTTTCTTAAGCTGTAATTAAAACTCCAAACATTTTACATACTAACTGTGTTAATATAAACAATATTCTGAAATAGGACTACAGTGGATACCTGGATTACTGCCATTCATTCCGATTTCTCTGTTAATGAGCCAGAGTAGAATTTCATTTGTTCAGTAAGACTCAAGGAAAAGTATTCCCTCTGAGATGTGCTAAATCCATAGCACATTCCAGCTCTAAAATAAACTAAAAAAGAATTTTTAATACATGTGAATGTATTTTTTTCCTGGATTCATTTCTGATACTAAATGAAACTTAAGGAATTGTGAGGTCTTGCATATTGAAATTTGGACTAGAAAACCCTTAATTTCATCATTGTAAGCTTTCAAAGCATATGCGTTCCTGAGGTTTATCTATGATTCTTTAAATCACTGAATCAATGTTATTCCATCATTTGCAAGACTACATGGAGTTCCTCAGGTCTACAGAACAGGAAGCAGCAGATTCCAGAGGAATTTAAAGTTAGTTTTGTTTGAAGGGCAGTCTCATGGAGGCAGGAGAGCAGACCAAACAGAAAGGAAGATGCATTAAAAATAGAGGAACATTTATTTTAAGAACTGTAATAAAATGACTGAGCAGCAGTCATGTCAGACACTACCAAAGACT